TATAGATGACTTAAAAATGGATTCTTATCACCTTTTGTCCATTTCTTTGGCTTTTAGCCACCATTATTGTAGAAATAGAAGAATTGCATGGGACTAAGTACGTCATCCTTTATGTCCTGGTTTGTCATGGTCAAACAATTCATCATCAAATTCATCAAACAGTCTATGATGATGAATCTCCTTCTTCTTAGGAACACTGGCCCTCAGAAGGCAGTCATAAACTGTCATCAGGACCCTTCTGGACACTATTCTTCACAATGCAGCTTAAGGTCCACTTAGTATTTTGTTTTTGTATGCTACTATGTCCTACTATTGGCAATTATGGAGCTCTTGTTCTGCTAAAAAATTCCCTATTAACTCTTCCCTGAGAGGTCATATGGTATAGTGGAGTCAGGATGAATCAATGCAGCCTTGGAGTCAGTAAGATCTGGGTTCAAGTCTCAGCTCTTGACTGTGTGACCCTGGACTAGTTACTTAATTTCTCAGTGCTATAGACTATTCTCTAAAGTAGGAGTTCCTTTAACTTAGACCCCATGTGGTTTGTGAATAGATTTCAGGATGTCCATGAAATTATATGGGGAAAAAAAAGGAGAAAAACCTTTCATATTTGTTTGCACTATCCTCCATTAGAAATTCATTCTTTCCTTCAATTATTTAAAACATAATTCTGAGGATTCCATAGACTTTGCTAGACTGAAAAGGGGGTCCATGACACACAAAAAGTCCAAGAACCTCTGGTTTAAGGCTGTCAATTGTAGCTTGAAATGAGAATTTCCTCATTGGTGTTCCCCTGCATCAATAAGATCACGGTCTGGTGTCTTCCCTCTCCCCCAATGTTTCCACTAACCTATCCCCTCTTCTGAATTCTCCTATTTCTGCCTAAGGCCCCACCATCTTTCCAATCACTTAAGTTCAAAACTTCAATGCCACATTCACCTCTTTGCCCTTTCTTACATCCCACATTAGATGAGTTTCTAAGTCATAGAAATTCGACTGCTACGACAAGTCACATCTGTTCTATCTCTCCACTCAAATAGCTACTACCACCCCACTTCAGGCCCTCATCACTTCTTGGATGGACTATTACAATATTATCCTAATTGGTCTCCCTGCCTCCAATCTTTTAAAACTCCAATCTATTTATCACCCAACTGCCAAAATGATCTTCTTAAGGCAAAAGACATTTCACTCTGCTGCTCAAGAACCTTATGTGGCTCCCTATTGCTTCAAGGGAAAAATATGAACTCCTCAGGCTAGCACTTAAAATCCACCACACTGTAACTCCAGGTTTCCTTTCCAGGCTTATTGCACATTACTTCTTTTCAATCTATGTTCCAGTCAAACTGACTTGCTTGTTGTTCCCTGACCTAGCATCTCCCACCCCTCAAAGCCTTTGCACAGGCTGCTCCCTTGACTAGGAGTCTCTTCTTTACCTATTGCTTCTTTAAGTCTTAGCTGAGGTACCATCTCCTAGCTGAGTTCTTTCTTGTTTCACCTAGTTGTCAGAGATTTCACCAGCCAAAATTATTTTTATAACTACTTATTTTTGTACATGTTGTTCTCCCTCTCCCACTTGAATGGAAGCTCCTCGAGGGTAGGAACTATTTCTTTTTAGTCTTTGTGCCTCCCATGCACAGTGTCTTGAGCATAGTAGATGCTTAATTAATGTTTATTGAATTGAATTGAATCTTTTTCACATGAACAATTTACTTTCAACTATGTCTCCATGCTATATTTATACAATTGATTCCTTGAACCCAAGTGCAGGATTTTACATTTATCCCCATTGTATTTCATTTTATTAGCCTGTAGAAATCTTTTTGGATGCTACTGTCACCCAGCATGTTAGCTATCCCTCCCAGCTTTGAGGCGGCTGCAAATCTGATCCCCAAACCTCTATAAGCATGCCCTATCTACCCATACAGATTCCCAATTTCCAAGACCTCCCCAATCTTCCAATCATCTGGGTCCAACTATAAAATTATCACCTGACCAGAAGTCATCGCTCCAGTCATTGGTTCTGCTTCCCTGCATCTTCCCAGCTTACTTTGTACATTGCATTCCACGCATCAAGTAAAGCTTTAGGATTCGTCTCTGAGGTATGTTGAAGTCCCTAGGGCACAGTGGTTATAAGTTATAGGAGAATATAACTAATATGTGAACATAATTACTTAGGTCAGAGGATTTAGAACTGAGGGGACCTTATACATTATCTAGTGTAATTCCCTTGTTTTAAAGGTAAGGAAACTGGGGTCCACAGAAGTGAAGAGGCTTGCCCAAGGTCATACCACTTTGCTAGCAAATGGCAGATCCACTGACTTCATATCTAGTCACAGTCTTACCTGCAATTCTGACCCCAGCTGCAATCTCATTCCTAACTCTAATTCAAACCTTAATTTCAGCTCCAGCAATAACTCTCAATCATCACCTTGGTTAAACCTTAATTCCAACCCTAAACTTAATGGTGACCACAACTCCTACTTTTCTTTACAAACTTCTTCCTTGCCCTGCCTTCCCCAGTCTTGATCTTGATCTTGCGCCTTGATTCCCATTGGAGTTGCCTAGCAGTTCCTTTGATCCACAACTGCCATTCACAGACTCACCCTGGGCTGAAAGCCAGAAAGCCTAGGTGCCAGCAAATCAGACAGCACCCAAGTATATGACCTAGGATGAATTCCAGTTGGTAAAAGGTAGATAATGATATATGCTCCCTGGTAAGACCAGGCCAAAGGAGGGCACAGGAAAAAAAATCCCATAAATTCTTGAATAAATAAGGAAATCAATTATGGATGCTTTGTGGGCCCTAGAGATCCCTGTTATTATGGGGATAATAGGGGAGGGAATTGAGAACCATGGATTCCCTGCCTTTCTTTGTGTCTCTAAACTGATTTACTACCCCCAACCAAGACTGCCTCAGAAACCCACGATTCCCTTTCTTGTGTCCGCTTCCATTTCCTCAGCCACTGAGCTGTCCCTAACCTCACTCTTCTCTGCTCTTTAACAGGCACATGGGAAGTATCTGGTGGCCCCCTTGAGCAAACTACACTGGTAGGAAGGAGAACGCATGACTAGATCCCTGAACTGAGAGGCCTTGTAATATATGCTACCTTCTGTGGAGTGGATCAGGGGATTCTGGGGGGAAGAAGTTCCCAAGTCATTGCTCCAGCTAGAGCTATCTTCCAGCGTCACCATAAAACTGGCCTTGCTGTCTGGGACCTAGTTTATCCTGAAATTCTGGAGATTTTGGGGAGGTTGTGAGTTCCCTAGAGCATCTCCCATGTTGGAACATGAACCCTTTTATATCTGTCTCCCTGCCATGTATACATACATACCATCTTTCATATATTGACATACTAACAACATATCTTATGTACATATACATATACATATACATACATATATATATATATATATCTCACCCAAATGAAGAAATGACTTTTTCATTACATTCCTTATCTCACACATAAGCATATTCATGTGTTACCTATGTTCATAGAGTAACACACACAGCATAAAGATTCACACACATACATACACACACACACATTTTCACACACACTCCTCAGGTGCCCTTCCCTCCTCCCCACGCTCTTATAGACACACAACTATTCTCTCACCCACGCTATCCTTGGACCTCACCTCCTTACCCACACCCCTGTCCCTGGTCTCGCAGGCCTCAAAAGACCAGTTTCTGTCTTGTCCCCCAGTGTGTGGAAGGGGCCGTAATGGTGGTGGGATGGACAGCTCCTCTATTCTCTGCTCCCTCCTCCTGCCCCCTCCACCCACATACCAAATATCTTACCCTCAGTGCACAGGGGCTTCCTCTATTCTCAGGCAAGGCCACTGAGCCCTTGTGGGTAGGGGGCCAGACTTAAGAGGGGTATGGAATGAGTCTGTTTCCCTCTCCTTACTGGTGATCCTTTCATTCACTCCCTCCTTCCCACCTCCCATTCTAAACCTTAGCTCTGTCCAGGGAGGGGGAACTAACTGGGGCAGATGGAGACCCCTGTGATATCCATGCCTTTTCCCTCCCAGAGAGGCTCAAATGTCTTTGAAGCAACAGAGGGCTTGAGGGGGAGGTTGGGCTAGGCATTCCTGGATCCCTTTCAAAAATATTTGGCCCTTGTCTAGAGCACCCATGACACAAGAATGAAGCACCTTCTTCAATCTCTAATATTCCTTCATGATTGATACTACCTTGCACCTGGAACCATGAAGGAGAGTCAGGGGCAAGAAATCTTTTTACTATTGGGATACCTGTAGGATTGGGTTGTCTCCTCTCCTACTCCCCACCCCTATATACACACAAAGAGTAAAGTAGAGAGAGAAAGGAAGCTAGAAGGGCCAACCAGGTGAGGTTGAAGGACATTGAGACTGTTAAGAGTAGGGAGGGAGTGGGGGGAACAGTAGATACTTGTATGCCTTCTATCTTAACCCTTAAAGTCTTGTGTTTGGGGGAGGAGCTTTGACATCAGCCCTCTGCTCCTTTACTCCTCCCTCCCTAATGTTTCCATTTCCCCTTCCTGATCCCCTTGGGCAAATGAGTGGTGAGGGGAACTCAGTGGACGCTGTAAACTGGGGCAACTATTGTTACCCTCAGGGATGGGGCCAGAAGGAAATGGAAGTTTATCAAGTGCCTAATTATTAGTCCCGCTGCCCGCCCTGTGCCACTCTCAGGATGGGGAAGAGCTTGCATGAGGGCTGGGTAATGCCTGTGTAGGCCATCCTGTCACCCCGCTAATTAGAGCTCCTGGGACTCCTCCCCAAGGCGGGGAGCTGGCCCCCTCCCTCCCATTGAAATAACTCTGGCTGGCTGCTAGACAGGTCACTTGCTGCACCTTCCCTGCCTACCCCAGGCAGTGTCTGGGCTCACAGTCTCCCATCTCCCCATTCCCTCCACCCCATACATATCCTGCTACTATCACCACCATCACTGTGCCCCGCCACCACCAGCCCTGAGGAACTATCCTGCTAAAGGTGGAGACTTCTACCCAGGAGAGATGGGAGGACGAGGAGTATTCCATCTACTGCTGATGTGCTTAAGCCCAGGTACAGAGTCTGGGGGTTCTCCAGCACCCAGAGAAGACAGGAAGGAACTCGTAGCAAAGGGCATCTCAGGGGATTCTTTGAGAGCCAGGTATCTCAGGAGATTGGTTTTCTCCTCAAAGCTGCTTGCTACAGTTGATCTCTCTGCTTGGACGTTTTCAACTCTGGGTATTAGGCTTCATGTGTGTACATGCATTTGAACTGGGCTGAACTCTATCTGGGAGCTATCCAGCTGGAAGTATTTGGATGAGTCTAAGTGAAGTCGGTTCTGGTGTAGAAAATGGCATTCAGTAAGGAGCCAGAGAAGGGATTTGATTCTCCCTGGATGGTCTTTTTGCTCCATTTTGTATATATATCTTTCTTCTCTCTTCATTACTTTCACAGAGAGTTGGCAAAAGGTCTATGACCTTGGAAGACTCCATGGTCTGGGGAGGGAATGGTAGGTGCAAATTCAGGATTGAGCTTCTCCCATTTTTGCCCTCTGGGGGGCAGGCAGCAAAAAGACCAATCTGGCACCTGGACTGAGGTTCCCTATTTTGTTCCCATCCTACAGAGGAAGCTTCTTGCTTCCATACCTACCTCACACTGGGATTCCTTTTAGGGGAGGACATCCAGGTTCCCATCCTTCCACGGCTGGGTCTGGAGGTCATTCCAATTTGTAGCTGTTTTCCTGGGGACTCTGTCCAAGTGACATCTAAGATAAGAGTGGGGAGAAGGGAGTAAATTTATCCTTTTGTCTGTGTGGAATTCCATTTGGTTACTTAGGAGTTCCAGGTTAGATGGGTACCGTGCTGAAGACATTTCCATATGTGAAGCTATGTATCTGGGGGTGGTGGGAGGTGACAGATTAGGCTAAATAGACTCACTACCCTTTTCTGGGAAGCTCCATCCTCTTCTCTCAGAGATGTAGGGCTAGAAGCAACTAATCAAGAGAAAAATAAGGCATAGATTTCAAAGCTTGGGAAAGCTAGCTTTTATGATGCTGCCTATTCCTGGGGACAGGATCACCCAGGAGACCTTGGGTGATCTTCAAGGTTTAGTGGGAAATTCCTTTGCTCCTTTCACCAGCTCTCTATCCACTTTTTCCTCATCACTCCCAGTTCTCATTCCTTGTCCCTTTTATGCCAAATCTTTGCCCCTAGGATGCCTGCCCATTCTTCTCCCCTAGCCTACTCCCCTGCCTGATTCAACTCACTCTGTTTCTCCCCATCTGCTCCTTTTCCCAACTCCAACTTTCTTGCCTATTACAACAGCCCTTCCTCCCTCATTCCTTTCTCTCCTTCTCTCCCCTTTCTCTCTGAAGTGTTAGACTTTCAGTCAGGAGATTTGGGTTCAGAATTCAGCTGGACACCAGATCTGTTGCCATGGGCAAGTCACTTCTTTCTGGGCCTCAGTTCTCTCCCATAAAACTAGTGGGGTTGGAGTAGATGATAGGCAAGGGTCTTTTTACCTCTAAACCCTGTGATCCTATAAAATGCACTCTCTGAACATCTTGTCCTTTTCCCATCCCTTTCTGAGGTCTGGTCCTCTGGTCCTCTTACCCCGTAGCAGGAGAGATTGGAGTGAGACACAAGGAATAGCTTGCTAACATCTGAGGGTGCATGGAGGATTTTCTGGAATTTTGAAAGGCAGTTGTGGGGTATCTTCAAATACAGAGAAGGGGTCTTCTCAATCTGGGATGGGTGAAGTGTTTCCTTGAATGGAGGCGAGGGATGAGATGATTTTTCATTTGTTTCCAGTTCCACTCTCTCTTCTCCCTGTTCCCTCCCCAAACCCTAGACTCCTGTCCCCTGCCTCCCACCTGGGACTCAGCTTCTTCTTTCCCTTGCTTCCCTGACGGTCCCTGGCAGCCCAGAGGCTGAAAAGAAAATGACACCAATGGATCCCAAGCACTGCCAGGGCAGCCCTTCCCTAGGGCGGAGACTTTGCCATGTAGATAGATGTCTATCACTCACCGGTGTCTGCCAGGCCTCCCTATGCCTAAGGAGCCATGGAGATTGCATCTGGATCCTTATCTCCAACATGTTTTCCCAAGGCCAGGGCTAGGAAGAGGCAACCTGCTCCCGTTAGCCCTCTAGCTGATTTTCCTGCTCCCTTGGTTGGGGGGGAGGTGAGGAATCCTCAGCCCCTGGAACTCTATCTCCCCTTCAGTTTTCTTGGGCTTCCCCAAGATTCTTAGGAGAGACTGGGAGGTTGTCGAGTCAGGGTGGAGACTGTACTCTCAGGTTTGATTCAGAAGTTCTAGTTCAGTGACCTCAGAATCACAGGATTTAGAGCTGGGAAGGGACCTTAGAGATCATTGAATCAGTCCTAAAATTGCTGAGGAAAAAACTGAGTCTCAGAAAGAAGTCACACAGCTTGGTATGGGAACTGATTCTACTGGCCCTTCCCGACTAGCCAGACCCAGTCTGTTTCATGTGTGTGTGTGTATGTGTGTGTTGTGTGTGTGGTGTGTGTGTGTGTGTGTGTGTTATGTCTGTGACTGGGAGAGATAAAGACCAGAGGAGACAAAGGGATGGTGCTCAGTGCTGAGCACATAATAGGTACTCAATGAATACTTTTTGATTGACTAACTGATTGGGAAAGAGGAGGCGCTGTAATAAACCCTAGCCAGAGAGCAGAGGGGATGGGAAAGAGAGGGAAGGTTTTGGAAGGTGGGGTGGAATGGGGAGGGGGAGGAATGAGACCTGGAAGGGGAAGTTGGGGCCCCTGGTCTCGTCTGTGCCCATGCACCTGCTGTTCCCCTTCTCTCTCCCAATCCTCTGGGGTGGGTCTGTCCAACTGGTTGGGGTAGGCTCTTGCCTGGGGCATTAAGGGAGGGAAGAAGACAGTAAAACTATCTTTTACTTCCGGAAATCCCTGCTCCCCACCCTGGGGCAGTTGGCTGAGGAAGCCTATAAAGTCCAGGGCCGCCCAGGACTGCATGTGGCAATGTAAATGCCCAGGCCAGGCTGGGCCCAGGGAGGGGCCTGCAGGGAGGCTTGGCTCCCTCCTTCTCCCTGACTCAGCAAGGGCAGGGGCTGGGGCAGGGCAGGGCAGGGCTGAGCTGAGGCTGCATGAGGCAGAATGAGCAAGGAGAGACAGGTGCCCAAATACACACAAACATCGGCATCCCTAGAGGAGGAAACACAGTCTATCCACCACATATGGGCACATCCATTGACACATGGATCACACACGGGTTTACACTGATATGACAACAACGACAATAACAACACACACACAGACTGGAAGAGGCCATCTTACCGATTCACCTACCTTAGGCACGCGAAAGCCTTATGGTACCCAGAGAGAAGACTTAAATGCGATTAAGCGTGGCTAGCCCAGGTCTCCCACTCCTGTGGTTAACAGCCACAGTTTATTTATCTTGACACCTGTGTATACAATCCCATGTTCACATCCAGTTACATGCACATACAACCACCCAAAACATATAACTATTACAATTATAGATATAAATTACAGATATAATTACAGTTTGATACAATTACAAATATAAAAAAAAATCCTGAATGCATACACAAAGCCACAAACACAGCCATACATAGACGTTCAACCACAACATACATACACATGTACATAGTCACAAAGAGATATCCAACCACCTACAACCAGTAGCATGCACAAAACCACAAACAGAAACTCGCATATACATACAATTGGGCACACATGAACAATCACACGCCTATACATAATACTCATAAGCACGCATAAATATGCTTAACCATATAGTCATGCTCAGTCATACACACAAAGTTTTTCAGGATCCCTTGACATCAACTCTGTCTCCCTCCCCTTTTTCCTGGCTCCTGATTTGAGGTTTGAGGGCTGTGTCAGAACCCTCTATTTAATTAGAAATTAATAGAGAGACACTTGTGACTCCAGCCTTCAAATCTTGGCCTGTACTCCCTCTCTCCCTCTGTCGCCCTATTACCCTCTCCCTCTTCCTCTCTATCATAACTATTTCTTTACCCCAGCACTGCTGTCCGCTGTGCGGATAAATGGGGATGGACAGGAAGTCCTGTATCTGGCTGAAGGTGATAATGTTCGGCTTGGCTGCCCCTACATGCTGGACCCTGAGGACTATGGTCCCAATGGATTGGACATTGAATGGATGCAGGTCAACTCAGACCCTGCACACCGGGAGAATGTGGTATGTGCCCTAGACATGGAAGTCCTCTAGTCATTCTCCTCTTGGCCCTAGGACCCTCATCCTACATTTCTATAATGTTTTTTCTTTTTTTTTTTCTGGAAATGGGAATGGGTAGAAGAATTTGTACCCTCTAAAATTGAGGCAGGGGGAAGCTAAACAAGGCTCTAAGTGCATACAAAGATGTTGGAACTGGAGAAAGATCCCAATAATCCTGATTCCGAGCTAGTCCCTCTTATGCTGTCATCCTGAGGGCTGCACCTCCCACCCCAAGGTACAGAACTCTGTGCTAGGAAACAGAGGGAAACTCAGAGGGAGGAGAGTTCTTTTCCTCAAGGAGCTCCCACCTAAACCTCTTACTTTTCAAAGCCTTTTCCTATGTATTATCTCATTTGATTCTCACAAATTTCTGTTGAGGGCAAGCTGGCCTTCTCATGATCATTTTATAGAGGAAGAAATTGAGGACCAGAATGAGGTGAAATATGGGATGCTCAGGGAGACCCACCTTGACCCATCTCACTTCTCTCCTCTAAAAAACAAAAATTAACCTTCTGGATATTTGACTTTTATGTTTTAAAAGTTCGTATTTTTATTAATAACTTTTGTTTTTACATTCATATCCCTTCTTCTCCCCTTTCTCGAGAGCCATCCCCTAGAATAAAAGAATTTTTTTGAAGAGGAAGAGAAAAAAAATAAACATCAGAAAATCTGGCATTAAATACAATGCTCCACACCTGGGGAGTCTCCCTCTTCCCTGCCCTCCCCCACCACCCCCTTGCTCATGTGTGGGTAATGCCTGTCTTCTTTTTTTCCTCTCTCCCTCCCCCTTATCTTTTCTCCACAGTTCCTCAGTTATCAGGACAAGAGGATCAACCAGGGCAGCCTCCCCCACCTTCAGCAGAGGGTCCGATTTGCAGCTCAGGACCCCAGTCAGTACGATGCCTCCATAAACTTAATGAACCTGCAGGTCTCTGACACAGCCACCTATGAGTGCAGGGTTAAGAAGACCACCATGGCCACCCGAAGAGTCATTGTTACTGTCCAAGGTACATGTGGATAGGAGGTCAATGTGACTAATGGAACTAGCATTTAGAATTTGAAAATCAGTGGACCTGGGTTCAAATTCAAGCTTTGTCACTCATTAACAGTGTGACCTTGGGCACTTCTCTGGACCTCAGTTTCCCTACCTGTAAAATTGGGTGGTTGAACTAGATGATCTTATTTTTGTTGTTCACTCATTGTCACTTGTGTATGATCCCATTTGGGGTTTTCTTGGCAAAGATGCTGGAGTGGTTTGCCACCTCGTTTTACAGATAAGAAAACTGAGGCAAACAGGGTTAAGTGACCTGCCCAAGGTCACACAGCTAGTAAGTGTTTGAGGCTGGATTTGAATTCAGGTATTCCTGACCCCAGGCCCAGCACTCTATTCACTTTGACATCTAGCTGCCCTCATGATCTCACAAGGTCCTTTAGACGCCAAAGCCAACCCTTACCTCATAGTTTTTACTACACATCATAGATTGGTGATGGCTTTCTTTATGGTGGGAATTGTTTTTCTAAGTGGCTATAGACCTAAGAATATTGTTGTGTATTTGCCTTTGCTATCCAACCTAAACCCCTCCGTGGGACCTGAATGATAATCACCCTCACCTCCTGTTCATTCCCTGCCTCTCTAGCTCGGCCTGCGGTGCCCATGTGCTGGACTGAGGGGCACATGACCTACGGGAATGATGTGGTGCTCAAATGTTTTGCGAATGGGGGCACTCCACCCCTCTCCTACAAGTGGGCCAAGATCAGCGGACGCACCCATCCCTACCGGGCCAGCTCTTACCTTTCACAGAATAACTACCACTCAGAACTTTCCTACCAGGAATCCTTCCATAGCTCTGTGACCCACGGTGAGAGGGTTGGGGGTGGGGGTGGGGAGGCAGGAGGGAAATCTGTGATATTAGTGACTTCCTCCGTACTGTTAAGATCCTCAGAGGCAATGCTTGGAGAGGATGAGGTTCCTTGTGTGAAGAACTAGACCCGAAGCAGGGGTACTGCCTAGACAGCATGGAAGTGCCTTGGGCAAACATCTGGATGGGTTACTACAGAGCTGATGGAAGATCAAGGGGCATACTAGGGGACACCTACAAGAATGACTCTCTGGACCTCAGTTTCTCTATGCATAAAGGATGGTTTAAGTGGGTGGTTTTTAAGGTCTCTTCCAATTCTGACATTCTGATATTCAGGATTCCATGATTTTATAAAGTTTAATTTCAAATGAAAGGATAAGGGTTCCTGAATCTTGTCCTAATGGAGCATCTTTGTGACCTAAGACATCATTTAGAGACAGACACTGCCCCCTTCCACAAGGATGGGGACAGCAACAAGCAGTAAGCTTTAAGGGAAAAGGGCTTATCCAACCAATTTAAAGATCAGTCTATTAGATCCCTGGATAGGGTCTGTCTCTGTGAGGATTAGTCTGTGGAAGGAGATGCCTTGAAGAATCAGGACTGTGTGGAGTAGAAGGTGGCAAAAATGTTGGGACAATTGTCTTCTTGTTGTAGGGACAGGTTATCTCTCTCTGAAGGGTGTGTGTGTGTTGTGTGTGTGTGTGTGTGTGTGTGTGTGTTGTTTCTATTTCTCCTTTTTCCTCTCAGTGTTTAGGTTTGTCCCTTCTCCCTTCTCCAATCTGTGTGTGTGTGTGTGTGTGTGTGTGTGTGTGTGTGTGTTATGTGTATTTCTTTTTCCTATTCATGTTTTGGTTTGTCCCATCTCCTTTCCCCAACCTGTGTGTGTGTGTCTGTGTGTGTGTTTCCCTGCTGTCTCCTCCATCCCAGCCCTCAATGCTCCACCTCTTCAGGGCCTACCTAGGTCAGAGGTAGGGAAGTCTTGGGCCAAAGGCCCTTTGGCCTCTTTGTGGCTGACTGATGCTTGCTCTATGTCAGGGCTCAGCAATGGGGACTTGGTGCTGAAGGACATATCGCGGGAAGACGATGGGCTGTATCAGTGCACAGTGGCTAACCATGTGGGTTACAGTGTGTGTGTGGTGGAGATAAAGGTGTCAGGTAAGTGGAGAGGGCTGGAAGGGAGGGAATAGGGTCCATGAGGCAAGGTTCTCTGGGAGGGGCAGGTCAGGGGGAGCTCTAAGGGATGGAAAGGGATAGGGAGTCCTGTCTGGGCTTCATCTGTAAGCCTTAGCTGGCTCTTCCTATAGAATCCTAACTTGTCCCTTCTTTGTGGCTCAGGCCAACTCCGCCCACCTGGGAGAAAACAGAACCCTTTCTAACACATACAAATGCTAGACTCACTTGCATGTTAATTTGAACGTGGCTAATTGAATACTATACACTTTCCCTCCCCTCAAACCCCTTGAGGATCACTCTCACACCCCAGGCCACTTGATTTAGCCTAGACAAAGTCTCAGTCCGACTTTTTCCTCCTCCACCCCCCCCCACCCCCCAGCCTGCGGGACTCTTCACTTCTGGAGTGGGGTGAGGGCGGGGTGGGGGTGTCGGAGTACTGACAGGCATTTGCATCTCCTCACAGACTCCCGCCGCGTGGGCATGATCATTGGAGCCGTGCTGGGCTCCCTGTTGTTGCTAGCCTGCCTCTGCCTGGGCATCTGGGGTCTCGTCTGCTGCTGCTGCAGCGGGAACGGGGTCAGCCGTGGCACCTTCTGTTACGGCAACGGCGGCGGGGTCGGCGGCGGGGCCTGCGACATGGCTAGTGAAATCAGGTAAAACCTGATGCATGCTGCATGCTGCTGTGAGGGAGGGGCCCGGCGCCCCTCCCCACTCCTCATCCCCGCCTGCCAACGGCTGGGACCCCCATCCCTCAAACCCGCCCAGCACTACCACGGAGCCTTGGGGACCACAGCATGCCGACCTGCCACCTGCCGCATGGCTTCATTCTTTTTCTTTTCCTACCCCTTCCACCTTCTCCTAGCCCTCCCCTTGGTCCCCTGCCCTCCTTCCCTTGCCTCCTGTCTGTTCAGTTGTCTGTCTGTCTGTTTTAGACTGTAAGCTCCTGGAGGGCAGGACATGTGTCTATCAAGGTCTTCTCTATACTGTACTTTTCGGTGCCCTGGAAATGGTTATTTACGAAGACAATCATAATTTATTACTAAAAACGAACTAGAAATAAAAATAGAATAATGCTAATAGTATTGATAACTGCAGTGCCTTAGGGGATCAAATCCCCTTGGAGGAGAGGTCAGAAAAGGAAAAGTGAGGGATGAGACTAGAAGAAAGAAGGGGAGCAGAGAATAACCTCCTTAGCTAATCTTTAATGTCTTCCACAACACTAATTTTGTGGTATAGTGGGTAGAGGAATCTCTGAGGATTTTGATGCTTGGGCCATTTCGACTGAAGGAGGGGCCAGTCCTAAACAAAGGCAGGAGGAGGGCCCAGATGACTTCCGGAATTGCTTGAGATCACCAATACTCAGGAATGGGGAAAGATAGATGGAGAATAGAATAGGCTGAAGCAGAAGGGGGGAGGAAGAGAGAGAGGAGAAGAGGGAGGGAGGTAGAGAGAGGAAGAGGGAGGGAGAGAGAAAGAGGGATGGCAGAGGGTGGAAGGGAAGGGGTGGCAAGGGAAGACAAGAGGTTTCCAAGAGCCCGTGGCTGTGCCCAGGCCATGCCCGCTGAAGAGCCCCGCTCACACCTCCTGCCTGTTGTTTTCCACAGAGAGGATGCATTGGCACCCGGGTGCAAGGCCACCGGGCGGGGCGGCAGCGTCACCCACCTCTAGGCTACCCGACAGAGAACATCAGCCGCTCGCTGCGCAGAAAGTACGCAGCTCCCTGTGCGGGACCCGAGGATGTGCCCTTGGCGTCCTGTGGGGTGGCTGTTGTGCCTGCCAATGCCACCTCCATCAGCGTCCCCTGCGAAGCGGGCCCCTCTCCCATCTACGTCAAGGTCAAGAGTGCTGAACTTGGGGACTGTGGAGAGGGGCAGGTGAAGGGCAAGGATGGTTATTTGGTATAAGCACCAGCCATGCCACCCAGGTGGCAACTTTCCCCAGGTGGGCACTGCATCCCCTCCTAGACTGCTGTTTGGGGGTATCAGGGATTAGAGGGACTGGGGCTCTTTGCCTAAAGCTGGGGACATGTGATCCCATGATGCCCACCTCATTGTGCCTGCCCTCCATCTGACTGGCTGAAGCAATGGATGTAGCAATAAATAACAGCTTGTGCCTTCCCTGAAAAGCTAGGAGTTGTGTTTGGAGCAAAAGGCAAGAGAGATGGCCCTTGAACCTTCCCTCCATCCTGTGACCTTCATAGCTACAGAGGGAAAAGGAGAGGAAGAGAGAAAAGGAGGACAAAAAGAGGTTTAGTGTAAGAGAAGGAGCTGAGGCAGGAAGATCTTGTGTCCTCAGCTAAGGCAGAGGGCCCCAGTGTGGGGGTGGAGGCTTGGGATCAGGGTGGGTAAAGGACTGGATGTTTTGTGTCTGAGAGTTCTGAGCCAAAAGGCAGCAGTTTAAGCACAATAAAGAAGCTACAACAAGTTTCAGGACTGAGGTAGTCCTAGTTCCTAGAGGGAAACGGGGAGGGGGAGGCATTGCCCAGGGATGAACCTGAGGGCTTTGCCCATCTTCCCTCCTGCTTTGATGGCCACCATCACATCATTGAGTGCAACCTTTGGAATTTCCCTTTCCAGAAAATCAGAGGAATGGAGGGCAGGGTGGTGGTACAATTTACCTTCCCAAGTTTCACCTGATTATTCTCAACTTGCTTCTCCGGATCTCTTTGTTTCAGAAATGAATGGAGAGAGAAAGGGGAGGGGTGTGCCTAGCTCCAAAGAGCATCTGGGAACCAATAAAGGCACTGAGGTGCCCAGCAAGCTGGGCAGATCTTCCTGGGGGCATGCGACAATCAATAAAAATGACCTTTCTATGGATCAGTAGCAATGCTGGTTAAAAAAAAGAAAAAGGACATGATGAGATAGTTACTCTGTAGATATTATTTAGAGCTGAAAAGGAGGGATTTTAGAGATTATTTGGTCCAACGACCTCATTTAAAAAAAAGTCCCAAAACAAAAACTGAGGTCTATTGTGGGAGAATCAATTGGTGGTTACAAGCTAGTTAGGAGCAGAAATGGGGCTAGAACCCACTACTTCTTACTATAGACAGTGATAGAGATGCAGTTTGTACCTTTGTGAAGCAGAAGAGGTGAATGTGTCCTAGAGATCCCTCAGTTCAAGATATCTCTGTCTAGTTTTCAAAGTCCAGGCTGCTCCAGACCACTCCTGGCCCTGCCCCTTTTCTCCAGGTGTCTCAGAAAAGTCTGGCATTTCCTAATTCCACCCTGCTTCTACCTTTGGGCTACAAGTGACACCTCAGGTCTTCTTTGTGTGGTTCTCTAGTATCCTCATGAAGCCTGAGCAGAATTCCCCCAAAAGCCTAGTACTCTGGAGGCTGGTCTCAATTAAGTTTCCACCAAAAGGAGGGTGAAGGGGGTAGAAAGAGGAGGGAAGGTATCGTGTGTGTGTGTGTGTGTGTTGTGTGTGTGTGTGTGTGTGTGTGTGTGTGTGTGTTGTATGTATTGGGTGGTGGTGGTATGGATGGACAGATGGAAGGACAAGAGTAGCTGGGTAACCTTTATGTACACGGGTAGCAAATGGTGGGAAAAGTCTTGTATTTGGAGTCAGAGGACCTGAGTTTGAATCATGGCTCTGCCATCTGCATGACCTTGGGCAAATCATTCAACCTCTCTAGAGAGGGCCTGTTTTCTCATGTACAAAATGAGTTTGGTTGGCTTAGATAAACTCTGAAATCCTTCTTAGCTCTAAAGGTATTACCTTAAAGGTAGCATGGTATAGTTCCAGAGGTGAGGAATTAGCAGCCTTAAGACCACATGTGGCCTTCTAGGTCCTTAAGTGTGGCCTTTTGACTGAATCCAAAGTTTATAGGACAATTAAATTTGGATTCAGTCAAAAGGTCACATTTAAGGACCTAGAAGGCCACATGTGGCCTTAAGTCTGCAGGTTCCCCATCCCTGAAGCATATAGTAAGCTGGCTTCAAATTTAGAAAGTTATGAGTGACACCTACTGGCTGCGTGACCCCCTGGGCAAGTCACCTAATCTAACCTCTCTAGAAAACTGAACAAGACTGTCAGTTGCAGAGAAGGGCCAATCAGCATTGGTAGAGGGAGTCTCCTTTACCAATGAAATTAAAGATCTAGTCCCTATTCCTTACGATCCTGTGGAAGTTTCAAAAATTTTGAAACAGTAAATGGACTGGTTGGAAGCCCTTTCAGATAACTGAAAAAGTGGCCTAGTGCACCACCAGAGAGCAGAGCTATGTCTTCAGGTCAGCAGCTACCTGGGATGCAGCATGTGGGGGAAGGGAAGGAACAAGCAATACTTTTACGTATGACTTTGCAAATGCACAGGTTTTTAGTACTGGGTTAATCTGCCCTCAATGATCTTTAGGGATTCATTTGGTGACATCAAGTCAACTGTGTCAGAGGTAAGATGATGTCATAAACTGTGACACAGACTATAGACTAGATCAAGCATTGGACACAGAAAGCATGATTTGCAAATGCAGGGGGCTAGATCGCCTCATTTGGAAATGTTAGAGGACAGGAAAGGATCTTAGATGTAATTAGTCCAGTCCCCTCCTTTTACAGATGAGGAAACCGAGGACCAGGGAGGCATAGGTGATTTGCTTAAGGTCACAGAGCTAGTAAGTAGTTGAATTGGGATTTGAACCCAAGTCCTGAGGAAAGGAGAAGGTAACGAATGTGTTGGCCTGAGATATTGTTAACTTAGCAGTGTACTCCTGATTCCCAGGAGACAGACATCTGGGGCAGAGAATGGAGTCTTTGGAAGCTGGGGGAGGCCAGGGAACTGGCATACTTGGCCAGAGAAGATAAGGGTAAAGCATAGGAACAGAGGCTGAAGAAAGATGCTTGTCTGAAGAAGGGTGCACATCCTCCTTCCCCTAGGAGATGGGTCAGGGGAAGCTGAGAACTACAGCATCAAACAGAGACCTTCACACCCATCTAAAAGTGACTGGATTGGACTCACTCCTACCCTAACGTGGGCAGAAGTGACCCTGGAAAGCTCTGCCCAACTGGATGGGAGCATCTCCAATCACAGCCTCAAGGAGTGGTAAGCAGGAAGCTGGGGGCAGTTAGGAAGGAAGGCTGCTCATAAATGATCTCTCTTCAGTGACATCACCTTTTGGTTCTACTTCTTTCCCTCACCAGGCATAAAGGTTATAATACCAAGGAAAATATGATGACAGCAGCAGCAAGATAATTTTCAGTTAAATATCCAAGAAGGACTTCCCGTTAAAAGGTTAAGCAGATTGTGATGAAAAGATAACCTAAGGCAGCCCCCAGAAGGAAAACTTCCCCACCATTTCTAAGGCACTCTCACAAGGGAAGGAGAGGAGAATTTATTTTAAAAGTACCATTCCCTTACACCCATCCCACTGAAGTCCTGCCCAGTATCTCAGGCAGTATAGTCCACAAGTGGCCAGCTGCTTTCTGAAACACTATCTGCTGAAAGGTAACCAGAAAAGTCTAATTTTTTTTAAACTGTAGCTCACTTGAAACAGGCTTTCCCATAAACCAGATTTTTATAGTCCCATTGTGTTTACTGGTTTTCTTTTTTTTTTTTTTGCTTCTTGGTGAGGCAATTGGGGATAAGTGACTTGCCCGGAATCACACAGCTGTAAGTGTCAAGTGTCTGAGGCTGGATTTGAACTCAGGTCCTCTTAACTCCAAGGCCAGATCTCTATCCACTGTGCCACCTAGCTGCCCCCCAGTTCTGTTCTACTTCCTCATTTCACCCCTAGAAGTGATAAAGCTTTGTGTATTTTGGTCACTGAAGAAGCGAGATCCACTTCCCTCATACATAGGTCAAGATTGCTTCCTTTGCAGCCGCTTGAATCCCAACTCAATGCTTTCTGTGGATTCTACCTGAAGAATTTCCATGCAATAGCAACTTCCTTTCCTGAGCACCTAGCTCTGGGAAAACTGTTTAAGGGAGATGGCTTTGGTCTCTATTACCCAGTCCCTTCCCCTTTCCTGTATTCTTTTTTTTTTTCTTTCTGGCTTCATGGTCTAGTGAGATTGGAGTCAGAAAGCTGGGTTCAAACTCTGTCTCTGCTGCTTACTATCTGTGTGACCATGGGGCAGGTCATTTAACCTCTCTGGGCTCAGTTTCTTCATCCGTAAAATGAGGTGGTTGAACTAGGTGATCTTTAAGGTCCCTCCCAACTCTGAACCTTCAGTCCTAAATCAATTTCTTTAAATGACTCAAGTTCCTTCCCATCTCCACACAACCCTGAAATTGAGCCCTCAAGTCACTAGCACACTCGAATGCTAACAGAGCTCAATTCCACACTTCTAGGTCTCCATTTCTTCCCCTTAAAAGCGTGATTATAAACACAAGCACATCTACAACCCAATCACACTGGATTACTGTGGCTCTAGACAGACTGGAGTTATTCTTAATTCTATATAATTTAAGGAACAAAGTTTATTAAGTACCTACTATGTTCAGGCACTGTGCTAAGCTCTTTAAGAATATTATCTTATTTGATCGTCACAACAACTTTGGGAGATAGCTGCTATTATTGTCCCCATTTTATAGTTGAAGAAATGGAGGCAGGCAGATATTAAGAGACTTCCCAGGGTCATGCAGCTACTAACTATCAGAGGCTAGATTTGAACTCAGGTCTTCCTGATTCCAGGTCCAGAGCTCTATCCACTTCACCATTTAGCTGTCTCTTCCTTACAGGCTTTAGTTTCCAGATCTGTATAATTTTGGGGTTCAACTAATTAACCTTTACCATAAAGTCATTCTAGATTGCTAAGAATATGTAACAGAAACATAACCAAGGGAGTTTTTTGAGTTATGTGCTCCTGTAATATTTAAGAAACACACACACAAACGCACACACACACACACAACACATGCACACACCCGAACTGGAATAATCTGAGAGTAACTCTGACTGGAGCCAGGTACATGAATGAG